GAGACGACTTCTAATCACGGTTCTGAAGTTTCCCTAAGCCCAGCCATGCTATAAACGTTACAACGCTGGGCAGAGGCCCTGAGCCCACTCAGCTGCATGTCTAGATGTGGAAACAGCCTTTGCTGTGTGGCTGACCAGGACACCCGGTGGAGCAGGGGTAATTGTTGCCTCTCTGACTTCTATTTTCAGTTCACGATGCGCTTATGGAGCTGTAACTGCTGCCAGTTCAGGGCATTTGCATACAAGCCAGTCTCAGAGCTGAGGCACACTTCTGTGAGAACAGAACTGAGCCGGGCTCAGTCAATGTGACAGCTAGGTGGTTCCTCAAACCATCCAGGTTAGAGATGCTGATGCCTGGACCAGAGCACTCCTGGCTTTGATGGCAAGGCATGGCCAGAGCCTAGATTACTCTTTTGGTTTTGTTTTTCGAGATAGGGTTTCTCTGCATAGCCTTGGCTGTCCTGAAACTTACTCTGTAGGCAGGCTGGCCTTGAACTCAAAGATCTACCTGCCTCTGCCTCCCAAGGGATGGCATTAAAGGTGCCCGGCTCTAGAGGACTTTTAAAAACATTTTAAAATTAATTTTTTTTCAAAACTAACTTGTGGGAGTTGGTTTTCTCTTTCTCCCACATGGGGCCCGGGACCCAGCAGCAGACATCTCCACCTGTTGAACCATGGTGGTGGTCCTCCGGATCCCTTCTAAAGTTGAGCTTTAAGCTGAGGAATGGATGTGAACGGTGAGTTAAAGTGAGGGTGCTGGAGTTGCGGGAGGAATTGGAAGAATGTATTATCATCATTTGGAGTTTCTGGAGGAGAAGTGGCCTGGGTCGTTTTAAGTTTCAGATGTTCGTTAGATAGCTGAGTGTGTCTGGATGTCCAGCTGTCCGCAGGCTGCTGGGTGAGTCAGTTCAGAAGAGATCTGGACTGCAGACAATACTGGGGCTCCTCAGCATATAGGCCACTCTAGTCCTGGGCCTGCCCACATGGGAGGATCTGCCCTGTGCCTGCTGCTGCGCAGTTAAGCTTGTTTGTAGCTTTTAACTGTGGCTGCAGCTCTGGGGATCCACACAGCCAACTCCCCCTCTTCAGTTTACACCTCAGTCTCTGTGGGATCAAGCTCCCACTGTCCACTGTGGTAGCTGGTTTACCAGGTGGCTCCCTACCCTGGCTGACTTTCACCTGAAACAGTTTCAGGATCGGCTGGGGGAACACAACCCAAGAGACTTAATTCTAAAGTTAGGAGGCTTGATGAAATCAGGGGAGAAAGGAGTGGAGAAAGGAGTTGCAGACAGGTTGAAGCCAGCAACAGCAGGTCTAGGGAACAAATAGCAAAGGGATCAGATGTTGGGGGACAGCTGGGCTTACCTAGGCTAGGCAGCCAGGGGACAATGGGCATGGGGGACAGGCAACACAGCTAGGAGCCATGGCAGTGGGACCATGGAGTATAAGCTGTAAAGGGGGAAGGAAAGATGGGATGATGGTAGAATCAATGGAAGACCGCAGTAGGATCTAGGACCCCTGGGGCTAAAATCTTCACTGAGCAGGGGGGTGGTACTGTTTTGTCTCTTTTGTCAACTTTATACAAACTGAAGTCACCGGGCGCCTGGAAGAGAGAGCCTCAGTTGAGGCTGTGCCTCCATCAGATTGGCTTATGGTGCATTTTCTGGATGATGGATATGGGAGAGTCCAGCCCACGTGGGTCGTGCCGCCGCTGGGCAGGCGGTCTTAGGTAGTGTAAGGAAGCAAACGGCACAAGCCAGTAAGCAGCACTCTTCCACGGTCTGTTTAGTTCTTGCCTCAGGTTCGTGCCTGGAGCCCCTGCTCAGTTTCCCCTGGTGATGGACAGTGACGCGGAAAGGCAAGCCAAAACCCCTTCCTTCCTAAAGTTGGTTTTGGTTAGTGTTTTAGCACAGCAGCAGCAGAGCAAGCTAAGACAGAGACGGGCACTGAGGGTGTAGTGTTCCTGTGACAGAACCGTGCCGCTTTAGAGAGCACTGTGCTGGCATCTGGGACTTTGGGCTGGAAAAATCCATTGAGTGTGCAGAGCTTTAGTGGGCTAAGAGTTTGGAAAGTGGAAATGTCAAACAGTGCAGACAATGGAAGCAGACTACTGAGGCTGTTCATGTGAAACTGTGAATTAAGAATCTGTTGTTCCAGGTCAGCTGAGGCTGAAGAACTGGCTGCAATGAGTAAGAAGCCAACATCATTGAAGCAAAATCTTCTGGGTTCAACTGTGATTCAGAGAGGGCCTCCAAGTTGGCAGTCAAATTTGGTTACCTTGTTTTCTTTTTCTTCATTTTATTTATTTTTTGGTTTTTCAAGACAGGGTTTCCCCGTGTAACAGTCCCAGCTGTCCTGGAACTAGCTCTTGTAGACCAGGCTGGCCTTGAACTCAGGGATTCACCTGCCTCTGCCTCCCGAGTGCTGGGATTAAAGGTGTGTGCCACCACTGCCCGGCCTCCTTTTCTTTATTTCTTTTTGGTCCTTTTGTTATTTCTTTGCCCCCCCCCCCCCCCACCTCCCGAGCTGAGGACCAAACCCAGGGCCTGTTATGCTTGCTAGGCAAGCACTCTATCACTGAGCTAATCCCCAACCCCTGCGGCCAAATTTGGTGATGTGTAAGACTCGCGCGTGTCATTGGTTTTGAAGGCATGAGGGTAACGGAGAAATGCCAAGGCTGAGAGTTAGAGCACCTGCAAAGAGGCCTGTGAAGGTAGCCTCACTTGCAGGTGGAGACTCCAGCTTGCTGGAGATACCAGGGCGGTGCAACTTTTAAAAAGTTGGAGTGATTTATATTGTGATATTATTGTGAGAGTGTAGGAATAAAAAAGAAAAAGTTATAGCTTAATAGTGACAAGGTATCTATTGTGCCTGTTGGTTCCCTCCCCGCAATACAAACCAATCATCAGGAGGGGTCCTCAGTTGAGGAACTGCCTCCTTCAGATTGGCCCATGGGCAAGTCTGTGAGAGGCATTTTCTTGACTCATGATTGATGTGTAAGAATCCAACTCACTGTGGGTGGTGCCATCCCTGGCAGGGAAAGCAAACTGAACAAGCCATGGGCACAAGCTGGTAAGCAGTGTTTGTTCCTCTGTGCCTCTGCCTCAGCTCCTGTCTTGAGTTCCTGTTCCAGCTTCTTGATGACCAGCTGTGACTCTAAATGGTAAGTCAAATAGACCCTTTCTTTTCCAAGTTGGTTGTGTTTTATCCCAACAATAAACAGGAACTAGGACATGGACGAGGACTTCCATGGCAATGCACAGCTGGCGCTGCCTATTTGTGCTATGTGTACTTACAAACATGAAATCATTTATCCTGGAATGACCCTACAATGCAGGCGTCATTCCCCACCTTTCACAGGTGAGTGACAGAGGCCAGGGACCACCTTCCCCAGGGCTCCTCAGTCAGCAAACGGAGGTGTTGGGATTTAAGCCCAGGTACTCTGCCCCACTGTGATGCCTGTTTGTCACATGCGTGGGGAAGGGCAGCATTTAGTGAAAAATGGCTAAAAGCAGTGACGAGAAAGGCACCTACTATCCCACTTCAAAGCTTGCTAGTATGGGGGTTGAGTGAAAGCAGCTCTCAAAGCAGGTGAAAGGGAAGCGGTGTCCTGTGTGTGCCTACCAGATCTGAAACCGGGGCTGCTTCTCATTTCATACTTGGCTTGTACTGCCTTTTTTCTTTTAGGACAGGGTTTCTCTCTCCCTAATCCTGGTTGTCCTGGAACTATGTATACCTTGAACTCAGAGACCTGCCTGCCTCTCCCTCCTTAGCACTGGGATTAAAGGTGTGCACCACCACATCCAGCTATTGCCTTTTCCTAATCACTGCAGACAGGGCTCCTACAGCTTACTGGTAGGCGCCACCTGGTTTGTGTTCTATTATATGCCATTGTCTTTAAATTCCATCTTCATGACAAGAAGATGCCCAGTGCATCTGCCTCTGACTTTCCTAGGGTGGCAAAGGGCAGGCTGATTTTCTGAGCCCTCTTGTGTTCTTGGGATAGACATTCTGGGTCAGCGATTAGTGGAGCATGCAACTAGAATCGGAGTGCTCTTCAGGACTTCTGGACTTCAGGAAGTGATTTGAGTTTCATAGAGTAATCAACCATTTAGAGTGTTTGCTTAGCATGCATGCGTGAAACCCTGAGTTCAATCCCCAGCACCACATAAACCAGGATCAGTGCACGCACATTGTAATCTAAGCACTTGGAAGGCAGAGGATCAGAAGCTCGAGGCCATCCCTGGCTACACCAAGTTCAAGATCAGCCTGGATTGGAGGTCCTTTTTCACAGTAAATGAATTTTGGTTTGGGAGTGACAGAATTTCCAAAAATGTTAAGAATGGATATAAACATTCCCCTGCATTTTATACCTGTATCTGTGAAAAGTGTTTGTTTTCTGAGACAAGGTCTTGCTTTGAATATACAGCTGGCCTTGAATTCAGAGACCTTCCTGCCTCTGCTAGGAGATCACACCTGGCTATGTGAAGCAACTTTGAAAATTGATTATAAAATCACACCACCAATCGACCATCAAAATGCTGAAGATGGCCGGGTAGTGGTGGCACATGCCTTTAATCCTAGCACTTGGGAGCAGAGGCAGGCGGATCTCTGAGTTCAAGGCCAACCTGGTCTACAGAATGAGTACCAGGACAGGCTCCAAAGCTACACAGAAATACTGTCTCGAAAAACAAAAGTTGAAGATGTTTTATGTCCTTCTGAAGTATCAAATATTCCATCAAGACTTAACTATGCAAAACAAACAAGTACATCCATGCCATTAGTATACAATATTTGCTTTTTTCTTTAATAAATGATAAAGCTGTGTGTGTGTGTGTGTGTGTATATATATATATATATATATATATATATATATATATATACACACCAATGAATTGTTTTTTTTTAAATATTTATTATGTATGTTCTGTCTGTGTGTGTGCCTGCAGGCCAGGAGAGGGCACCAGACCTCATTACAGATGGTTGTTTGTGAGCCACCATGTGGTTGCTGGGAATTGAACTCAGGACCTTTGGAAGAGCAGGCAATGCTCTTAACAGCTGAGCCATCTCTCCAGCCCCCACCAATGAATTGTTTTAAACTAGTTTTCTTTATCTGTTTTCAGTTACATTTTACTTATGCATCTGTTTTATATACTTGATGGAAAAGGCTGTGTGGAAGAAATGGCCCTGTTCTAGAGATCTGCAGACGGCGCAGAGCAGGCCTGAGCAGCTCAGTGACAGAACTGGACCGCTGTAAGCATGGGACTTTGATGTACCCTGTCTACAGAGAATATCCACAGAAGGCTTCAGCTGGAAATTCCATGGAAATGTGTACTGGACTTCAGCAGGATCGGCCTCTGGAGTGAAAATGAGGTTTGCCCTTGCCTGTTCATGGGGAGAGGGCCCCCGCTGTGGGCAAGCCTAGCTTCCCACCCACATGGGAACCTGCTGTGAAGAGCAGTTGGGATTAGTGGCCATGTCAAGTGGATACACATGACAGAAGAGTGGCAGGCCTCTGCATGATGGGCAGGGCAGGAGTGGGGAGTTTCCTCTGGCAGCTGCACGGAGGGAACTGGGTATTTATTCTATCAGATGGTCACCTCTGCTTCTGCCCCACAGCCAGCCACCACTCAATGACCACAGTTTTAGTTGGGGAGACACAGGCTCAGATAGACAGTTTGTATTCATGGATTCATGTTAAAGCGGAGTCAGTCATTATTTCTCATTCAAAGCTTCAGAAAATACTAACGTTTTAAGTGCCTAAGCCATAAATCACCAAGGCAACAATACCCCACCAAGTCAGCCCTGCTTTGAGAAGTGTCATTCATCTGAATGGCCTTCAGTTGGCAGGAGGATGAAAGGCTGAGCAGAACGGGGAGGTTGCTAGGACCACGGGGACTGGGTCAGGCATCAGTTCAGTCTTCAGTATAGAGACAGCCTCAATCCCCTCACGTGACTTACTTCCCTACTAAAACACGTTAGTGAACCAGGGAGTTAATGCTGCATGTCACAATCTCCGAGCACTGGTCCATGTTCTTCCTCACCCTGTAGAATTTCTCCACGTATTCAGATCGCCCTAAGAGCTCCACAAAATCTTCATCATGAGTGATTACCAGAAGCTGGAAGTTACGCTGCTGCGAGCGACTTTTTATGATCCTGAAACAATACATTGAGAACACCATTTTTACATTTGGAAAAACCACTGGAAAAAGAACAGCTGTGTGCCACAAGTGACAGGGCCTTTGGCTGCCCTGCAGGAAATGGGGGAGGGCTGGGGCCTTCAACGTAGGCAGGTAGGAGCCTATCTCCTTCCCACACAGTGGGATGCAGGGATGCATAGCCTCATGACCCACCCATCTGGCCAAGAACCAGGTCAAGAATTTGGACCAGTTCCCCAAGATCCTAATCATGCAGGAGAAAGTCTTCTAGGAAAGGCTAAACTATTCACAGCCAAAAGAGCCCAGCTCGCTCCTCTGCCTAGACTCTCCTGAGCTGCTGCTCGACTTCTCTGAAAGTCTAAAAGTAATTCATGCAGACAACATGTAGGGGAATAACACTGCCTTCTGAAGAGCTGGGTCTACTTAGAATTCTGCCACCACCAGTCACTAGATGCATCAGTGCTGTGACACACAGAGGCCTGAGTGGGTGTACTGGGGACATTTTTGCTCATCAGCAGCTGAGGTATCAGCTCTGAGATGCAACCAGAGTTTTAACTCACACTTGTTTATCACCTGCCTGGGGCTGGATGCACTTCATGTTTTGATACCACAACCCCCTCCTTCCTTGCTGGTCCCCCAGAACTATGAAGAACTGGCTGGAGGAGATACCTGTGCTGTCAAGAGTTCTTCTGGGGTGGCTCTGACGTCAGGGAATGGAGCACACAAGAACTACAATTTAGCCTCTATCATCATCTACTTACCAGGATGCTTCTTCCATAAAATCTCTCATCCTCCACAGTAACCATGTGACATGTGACAGACAGTCCTAGCTCCACTACCACCAGTTCTAAGTGTCTGGCCAGGGCACATATGGACTCCTGTGCTTACCATGGGGGCATTCACAGGAAACCTAGAGGAAGCCCGGAACTGCTCACCCTTACCTGCCCTATGAACACCTGTGGAGAGGCAGAACATGCCTATCTCAATACTCTCATTCCTTTTATTTTACATGCATTGGTGTTTTGTTTGCAAGTATGTGAGGGTGTCAGATCCCCTGGAACTGGAGTTAGAGACAGCTGTGAGCTGTCATGTGGGTGCTGGGAATTGAACCCTGGTCCTCTGGAAGAACAGTCAGTGTTCTTATCCCCTGAGCCATCTCTCCAAAGACGTTAGTTCCTTTTCAAGAAAATCTGGAGAATTACTATTAAAAGGCAAAGTGCAAAGCCTAGTCTCAACTGGATTCTTTTCTTTAATGGCGTCTCACTGACTAGCCTGGAATTCACAATGTGACAAGGCTGGCCCTGAACTCACAGACATCTGCCTGCCTCTGCCTTCAAGTGCTGGAATTAAAGGTGTGCACCACTACACCCAGCTCTGCTATTGGTATTTAGAAAAAAATTGCAATCTGCCCTGAACTTGAATTGAAATACTTACTCAACCAAAGCATGTGCAAGAGATTCAATGTTCTCTCGGTCAAGATTTGTCGTCGGCTCATCCAAGGCAAGGATGCCACAGTTCAGACAGAAGGTTTCAGCCAGCGCCAAGCGGATAATGAGAGAGGCTAGCACCTGGAGAAAAGTTGCACAACAGACTTCTTTAGAAGGGGATGGTGAAATGAACTGAGTAGGGTGGCTGCACCTTTGTTCTCAGCAATCAAGAGGCAAAAGCAGGTGGATATCTGAGAGTTTTAGGCCAACCCAAGCTACACAGGAAGACTGTCACCAAAAACAAGAGGGTAGTAGAAGGTGGGAAAGGTCAGAGGTCACCGATAGGGACAGTTCAGTGGAGACCACTGCTCTTCTGAAAGGTGGGCCATCAGCTACATTCTCTCAGCCTATCATCTGCACTGACATAAAACACTGAGGAAGCCCTGCCAGCATTACAGTGCTATCAAAAACTGACATCACAGGCTAAGGGGCGATGCATTACAATTTATCAATACGAGTCCAAGATTCACCTGGAACTCACTATGTAGTCCAGGTTGGCACCAAACTCTGAGAGACCTGCCTGCCTCTGCCTTCTGAGCACTGGGACTAAAAGGTGTCATCACACTTAACCCTAAGACTTTCTGATTTGACCCTTATAGCTTCTCAGTGATGAAACTTGTTGGAAAACATTACATTTTCCTGAGCCTCACAGGGGCTCTGGCTCAAAAGAGAAACCAGGCAGTGTGTTCTACATCACACTGAAGAGTATGTTTTTGTAACTGTGACAATGAGAAAGAAAGTTAACAGAGCACAGCTCTATTTGTACTTATCTCTAGGAGGCCACTGAGTCCATTCATGGACTAAAAAACATTCAAACCCTCAGGCTTGGTCCAGTCTTCTCAGGGCTGTGTCCTAGGAACACAGCTGCTACTCAGACTGTCCTGGGAGGGCAGAATGCTTTTGTGTGAGTGCTACTCTCAGGGCCTGCTGAAGTCCTGGGCTTCTGAGCCAGGGCAGTACACACCTTCCTTCTGATGTCCAGGGCAGGCCAGCAGATTGCAGAAGCCGGGTGCCCCTTTGGGGGACAGATACTTCCTTCCTGCCTTTGAACCCTACTCCTGCCAGTCTAGCAGCACCCACGTACATGCAGGCTGCTGGTTGGCCCACAACCACCAAACCATTCATCTGACACCTCTCCCTCCACTAGGAAGAAAGTACTGTCAGTTTTCACAATCTAAGAGCAGCTACAGGAAGCTGTCTTTTTGCTCAGAGACCATGTTTCAAACTCACTTATAATGAATATTACACATCGCCAAACAAGAAAGCAGGGATACTGTTTATAGATTACAAACTAGTCATTTCTTCAGATTATGACTGTGATAGTAATCTGCATTGTCTGAAATTGGTGTTAGCTGTCTGGACTAGCAATAACTGGGATAACTGTGTGACTAATGTGACATCCTTTCCTAAGCTTGTGAAATTTTATGAAAAATCTGCCTTACTATGAAGGCTCAGAATCTGCACTCTTGTGCATGGTTAACAAAATCAACACTCAGGACCTCCCGATGCTCTGGGATGCAGGTCTCACGTTCCAGCCTTATTGAAACATTTCTCATTCTGATTTCCCCAGTGCTACAAACAAACCTACCTCCTCCAGGAGCCTCGTGTAGGGCCACTGACCTGATGTAGCCATTGGTCTAGAGTCCAGCACAAAGGCTACGTGAGGTGCTGGTGATGGGGAGTCAGTCCTGTGCAGAGGCTATAGTCTCAATGACACAGATCAGAATCCCTCATTTGGTTTAACTCAGGGTCTAGTTTGCTAGTGTTCTTTGTCCATTTGAGATAGGGTCTTGTGTAGCTCTCAGGCTGGCCTCAAACTCAGTCTATAGCCAAGGATGACTTTGAACTTCTGATTCTCTTGCCTCCACTCCCCTAGTGCTGGGATGATAGGCATGTTTTGGTAGTGGTGAGGGGCAAGCACTCTACCAACTGGTCCACATCACTCCCCCTGCTAGTATTATTTATGACTGGCAGTATACTTACTATTAATTTTGAGATGTTCCTGCCCATTTTGATACCAGAATGCATCTTTGGGGGCCCTTTCTCTGAGAAGGAGTGCTGTTGAAGTGAAATGGGTCTGGGTAACTCTGACCCTTTTTCTTGTCTTCAGAGCACTACAGGGCATATTAGCAAGCAGCAGGATGGGGTCATGATATAGCTGTGTCTGTCTACTTCACAAGGTGACAAGGAAGGTGTAAGGAGCTTCTCCTTCACTTAAGGGGAGTCTAAACCTTCCACAACATGGGGCCTATCTTTAGTTCTTTAGCTGGCTCCATAGGTTGCTGAGATACCTGCCTTCTGTCCAGCACTACATCGTCCCCGCATGTCCAAGGCTGTGTCCCCCTTCAGCATCACCACTCGGTAGTTGTAATTCCGCCTTTTGTCAGAAGCAGACACGTTTTCATCAGCATCTGATCGAATTTCTATGTATTCAATATCTGATACAGAAAGCAGAGTATTTTAGAGGACCCACACTGCACCTCTGTTACTTATACACATCGTTCACAACGTCTGGGGACAACAGTGAGTCTGATGGCTTTGAACGCATTGGCTGCCTTGCAAGCTATCTGGCCAGGAGGACTTAGGAGCCACGTGGTCTACCAAGATGCAGCCTGGATGGCCCGCCCCCAGCCTGGGCCCAGCTCCTTTTCTAAGTTTCCTTTGGGTACTTTTCTTATCACATTTGGGCCTATCCCTATCTGCGCTTTCACAGAAACCATTATGTCATCAGCTCATTGTGTCTGCTACAGACAATATGAGTCCTACAGGGCTTTGGAACAGAAACTTTGCGTTTTCTTTTTGTTATAAGATATTGCAAAGATAAGAATTCTTAGAAAAATCTTAAATGCTAAGGAAGGGGTTTGAGAAGGTAATGCTGGCATGGTAAGGTCACACAAGAGAAGCTGTGGACAGAGCTTTGGAACAAGCATTTGGGACACACCATATTAATTACCTTGTCCACGATAAGTACTCCGCCAAAGATCACGAATAATTTTGTTGATTTCTTCCATTTTCATACTGTGAAATTTCATTATTGCTCTGGAAAAGGAAGCCACTTTTACTTGGTGCAATATATACTATTTATATGAAAGACAGGAGAGTGGTATAACAGTTTATGCTAAATTATATAAATATGTAATACAGTAATAATAATAAAAACATCATTGCCCCAGTACTTTCAATTATAAAAGCTGAATATGAAAAGTGCTAGACTTTCCTGGTACTAGACTGCTAGGCATATGCCAGGCCCAAGTCCTCACACGGCTCCGTTTTTACTGTGGGATCCAAGTACTTCTTTAAGTGCTCAGAAACTGCAGAGTTGAGTGTGGCAGCCCACACCTTTAATCCCAGCACTCAGGAGGCAGAGGCAGGCAGATATCCATAAATTTGAGGTCAACTTGATCTACACACCAAGTTCCCCAAAGCTACACAGTGAGACCCTATCTCAAAACAAACCCCAAAAAACTTTCAGAAAAGTCGTCTCTAACAGGCTTCTTTCTTAGGCCCTGAGAGCACACTGGAGAGGCAGCTTCCCCGGCACCTGCAGTAGGCTGCTGTAGAGAAGACCCACGATGTGCTAAAGCTGAGGGCGCAGCTAAGCCAGGGGCCCTTGTTACACAGCAGAAGCAAGTCTAAAATTGTTGTCTGGCCCTGTTAAAATTTTTTTAATTTTTATTTTTTTGGAGACAGGGTCTCCACATAGCCCTGGGCTGTTCTGTAGACCAGGCTGGCCCTGGAGTCAGAGATCCACCTGCCTCTGCCTCCTGAGAGCTGGAACTAAAGGCACGTGCCACCATCGCCCAACTCCTTCTAGAAATGTTCAAAAGCCAGCCCCTTATGTTCTTTTATTCCTCAGATCAGTGAGAATTTTATCTACCCAAAGGCAGCGTTGGCTCAAAAGGATAACTTACTTAGAAGCCTGACCCTTTATTCCGTCACAAGTCCTAGCCTAGTATGCTGACCTCCACAGGAATGCCCTTACTCCCAATTCTCTTGTAAAGCAGCAGTCTCTAGACACTGAACGACATGTTTGTGAAAGCCAGAGCTGCCTGTTAAAGTTGAATGCCATGTGTGCCCCAGCTACCTCAAATGTGGAGGCAGGACCATCAGCACAAAAGTCTCTGCCACGGTAAGAAGGCAAGTTTCACGGCTACCACCATGCAAGGATGTGAGCGGACTCCCTTCCACTTGCAGGCCTCTTATCTGATATATACAAAAAAAGAAACTAAACGTAATGCCACTGCCTCTGTACAATCATTTTGTGATCTTCTGATCATCAGCTACAGAGAAAGAAATGACTCAACATAAATACGTCTAAATATCAGATGGGGAGCTGCTGAAGTAGTAAAGCCTGGAAAAACACTGCTTCACCAAGTCTCCATTTTCTAATTCATGCTCACCTCAGCCTAGCATTTTATGCTTGTTTCAGAGAGTAGACAAACCAGCTATCATTTTCTTCAAAAAGGAAAACCACAACAAAAACTACCTCACAGAATGTTCTGGGGACCAATTGTGTGAAGACTACCTTTTCATAGCTCTATATACTATGATCCTAATTTTATAAAAGACTTCTTAAAAATGTTATTTTTTTTAAATTTATTTATTTATTAAAGATTTCTGTCTCTTCCCCGCCACCGCCTCCCATTTCCCTCCCCCTCCCCCAATTAAGTCCCCCCCAGCCCGAAAAGGAAAAAAAAAAAAGTTCAGAATCTCTTTTGAGATTCATGCAGTGTCTTAACTGTAAAAAAAAAAAATGTTATTTTTTTCAAATTGATAACTAACATAAAGAGCACGTGAATGGAGAACATACACCAGGTGGGGAAGGACTGTGCAGTCTCTGCTGAGACCCAGAACGGTGGGAGAGAGCTCCAGTCCACAACGCCAGTCCGCTCTGGGTGTCACAGAGCTGACTCTGGCTACTACTGGCTGGCCTAGCAGCTAAGATTTGTCTCTGGGAGTTACAACATAAGGCAACCTCTGGGGATGACAAAGGTGAGTAGTAGCCCACCTGAGGGAGTAGCACCGACATAATGAGCGTCACCTTCTGAAAGACAACCCATGTGCAAAGTCACACATTATCTCTCCAACCCCCAGTTACTACACAACATATCCTATGGAAATTTGCCCGGGATTCAGAAAGTGGCTAGGATACTTTGGTTAGGATAGTTTTTTAAGGCTGTGAGCAGACAAGACAGTTTTCTGAGTATTATCAAATCCTCAAGGTGTACCCACCTTCTGGGTATACAAAGTATTATGAAGTAGGGAGAGACTGAATAGAGGGCAAAAACTTTTGGGCCTGTTTTGCCTATCATGACAGAAATCAGCATCCTAAATAAAACTGAGTTTAGTTTAAGGGCATTGAACAGAACACATAACTGCTGGGTATGGAACCCAGGGTTAAGCACATCTTGGGTAAGCATACCATCTCAGGTTACTACCAACTGGTATTTGTCCCTAGAAAGCAAGAAGAGCACAACAGGAATAAGGTTGTCCAAGGTAACTTACTGCATACCAGAGTAAAGAAAAACAGATGAGTGGGGGGGGGGGGGCGGGGGAGTCGTGGTGCAAGCCTTTAATCCCAGAAGGTGAATCTGTTAGTCTGAGGCCTGCCTGGTATACAAGATGAGTTCCAGGACAGCCAGGGCTACGTAGAGAAATTCTGCCTTGAAAACTCTAAAACGGAGTAACCCTGTCTCAAAAGATCAAAAACAAGCTGGGCAGTGGTGGCGTATGCCTTTAATCCCAGCACTCAGGAGGCAGAGGCAGGTGGATCTCAGTGAGTTCGAGGCCAGCCTGGTCTACAAGAGCTAGTTCCAGGACAGGCACCAAAGCTACAGGGAAACCCTGTCTCGAAAAACAACCCCCCCCTCAAAAAAAAAAAAACAACAAAAACCCCAACAACAACAACAAAAAAACTGTAGTGATATTTTATGTTTTAACAAATAAAGCTTGCTTTAAGATTAGAGTGCAGAGCTAAATCACTAGGGACCAGGGAGTGGCGGCACACACCTCTAATCCCAGGAGACAGAGGCAGTTCTCTGTTAGTTCAAGGCCACCCTGGGTAACAGAAGATTAAATCTGTTTCAAAGAGAAACAGAACTCACACAAAGGTGATCTCCCAGCACTTGGGATCCCACACCTTTAATCCCAGCACTAGGGAGGTAGAAACAGGAGTGATATGGCTAGGCTGATAGAGGAATATAAGGCGGAAGGAGACAGGAGCTCAATGCAGTCTGAGGATGAAGTCTGAGGTGCAGTCTGTAGCTGTCTGAGGAGGCTGTCTGGGATTGCCTCTTTAGTCTGAGCATTGGTAGAGGTAAAAGGTCTCTGTAGTGCCTGCCTGCACTGCTTCTCTGATCTCTCACTTTTCACCCCCTAATATCTGATTCTGGGTTTTTATTATTAAGAACAATTAGAATTTGTGCTGAGCCAGGGGATAAAAGAAGCATCTGGTGTAACACCGAGTTTTGGTCAAAATCACACATAATTATGAGACAAATGGAAAAAAATTTCCTTTTACAAAACGTCTCAGCATCTATAGCAACAACAGCAAATACAATCTAAGACAGACACAGCATTTTCTCCACAATAACCAAGAAAGATGCTACCAAACACAGGGCTGTGGAACAGTGGCTTGGTAAAATATGGGAGAAAGAAGAAAATGATGAACAATGGAAGAGAACCTGTCATTGTTTCTGTACTAGGGTTTGACTGGATACATAAAAACTCAAGAAAAACAACTGAAATATTAACATTTTCAAGTTAACCAGACGTGAGCCTAGATATAGTGTACAGGTGTTTAATCCCAGTCCTCAGGAGGCTGAAGCAGGCAGATCTCTGTGAGTTTGTGGCCAGGCTGCAGCAATTAATGAGCTCTTGGCCAGTCAAGGCCACATACATAGTGAGACCTATCGCAAAACAATTTATACAGTATTACTATCTGGTTTCTAACACTGTTAGGAAAGACAACGGTGGGGGTGAAGGGAGGGCCCTATAGTGTGAGAGATGTGCCAGTCACCAAAAGTCTTAATTCCAGAACCCCAGAAACTCTCATAAAAAGCCAGATACAGCCGGGCGGTGGTGGCGCACGCCTTTAATCCCAGCACAGAGGCAGAGGCAGGCGGATCTCTGTGAGTTCGAGACCAGCCTGGTCTACAGAGCTAGTTCCAGGACAGGCTCCAAAACCACAGAGAAACCCTGTCTCGAAAAAGCAAAAAGCAAAAAGCAAAAAAAAAAAAAAAAAAAAGCCAGATACAGTGGCTCATGCCACTGGGGAGAGGTATATAGGAGGAACCTCTCAAGTTCAATGACCACCAGCTGAAGTGATGGGCCCCAAAACCCTCTTCCAAAAAACAAGGCTACATAGAGAGACCTTGTCTCAAGAAAAAAGAAATGGACAGATGCGTGTTCTCTCTCTCTCTCTCTCTCTCTCTCTCTCTCTCTCTCTCTCTCACACACACACACACACACACACACACCCTATTAACAATGGCAATAAAAGTATAAAATATGTAGGAAGAAATTAATATCCAGCACTAAAGAAAAAAGCCATAAACTTTTCAATAGGACAAAAAGAAATCACCGAACAGGAGACACATGCTAAAGGAACCACAGCGGCAGAATCCTTGTTGCAAGGACAGATTCTTCCCAAGTGCTCCATGAATAGAAGCAACCAAAGCAAAAACACCATGGAAGGATTTAAACAGAGAATTCGGTGAAATCTGTACACAGACTCTAAAATTCTGAAAGAGAAAACACAAAAATAAAACTGGTACTGAGACAGGAAGAGATATTAAAAAGTTGGTGGACACAGAAGAAAATCTAGAAGTTAACACAAATAAAAACTTGACAATAAAACTGACATTTCAAATCAATTGGAAAAATTTCAATACTGTTGGAAAGGAGAAAAAAAATAGCATCATGACTTTGTGTGAAACTCCAAAATAAAATTCAAATGACTGAGAGTTAAAGCGGGAAGCTGTCTCAGTGAGTGAAGCTCTTCCAGGCTGAGTGTGAGGCTCTGAGTTCAGATTCCCAGA